ATATATATAATGATGATAATAACGCATGATACAAGAAGAAATTATCTGAATAGGAAAAATATTTGTTGATAACAAACTCCTGACACAAAGGCAATAGATTAAATAAATTTTTAGCACTGCTTATTGACAGCAGACACATAACCGGGTAGTATATAGTTGATTTATGTGTGATATTATTGTGCTTTACACATAAAGAACATTTCTATAAGTGTAGATTATTAAAAGCATCAGTTATGTAAAAAAAATTATCTCAGTCAAACTCAGGCTGTATAGGGCAATGTTAACGTTAGGAGCATAGCAAAATTGCCCCCATGAACGTTAATCATAGACTCTAATCTGAACATGTGTCTGCACGCAAGCTTCCATGGAGATAAAAGCATAAGCCTTCGTTTCATTAGCTAATAAGAACACCAAATTATTTCATTCGAAAATTATAATCGGGTACGAGCAACAGTGATATCAATATGCCTTTATCTTGCAATCCAATAGATAATAAACGATTGTTATAATAACATTCAATCAGATTTCATTCAACTTCTGTCAATAGTATTATAGCAAAGACATTGAAATTTTCGACTACTCTAGTAAATGTTTTTTGGATTAAAACTATTAAATTTTGCCTAACGTTTTTTGGTAGAATAATATTCGACCTATGTTTCTTTACTGTGCAGCCATGCATTGATGAAATAATAACATCAATACTTGTATAAGTTGACTTCCCTAACACCTGTAAGCGCATTCACTCTTTTTAGGGTCTTTCTGTTTCACCGTGTTCTCATTACTCTTGTTGCTGTTGCTGTTGTTGTTTTTGTTGTCGTCTACGTCGCTCTCTCACGCTCGCCCACGCGCGCTTTTCTGTGTCTTGTTCCTTTCCATTATTCTTCGGCTTTTTGGGCGCAACAACCACCACTATCACAACTGTCATCCCTTCGCCATCGATGTTTTCGCTTTTTCGTCAAAATCCTCTACCTTCACCAATTCTTCACGTTCTGCGCAACCTCATCTGTCTGCTCCTTCTTGCACTACTGCACTTCCGCGCCGTCTGCTGCTGCGGCCGTCCCTCTTCACTGTCTGCTGTCGTCGTTGCTACAACGTCGTGTTATAGTGGTGAACGCCGTGGGCGGGGAAGCCAAGGGCCCTTCTGGCGGGCCAGCTGCCCATCAGAGCCCCCAGCAGATGCCGGCCGGGATTTCGCAACAGACGACTGGAACACTATCAGGATCGATTTCACAGCCGCAGCCGGCGCTCAGTCCAGCGTCTCTACGCAGTAACAGTAAGTGTTAAACAGTTAATCAGTCAGTCTGACCAGCGATACACTGAACAGGGTCTGCCATAATCCTTTTAGCCTAAACCTGCCAACCAACGTTGCATCCAACTCACAATCCTCGGCGCTGACCAGCTGATTTATTTGCTATTCTGCTTTTATAGTTATGCTATATTATTACTAGTGGTACCACTACAACTTGTTCCTTCTGCGGTCGTTTATGGCTGCTCATTGTTCAACGGCTCGTTGGTCCATGGGCCCTGAGTACCGCTCCGGCTTTTAATTTTCAGACAGACCCCGGGGCTGGCAACCACACCGGGCCAATTAGAACCTAATACCCTGTCACGGTACCTAAACTGTTACCTATCACGGAAAGCCTGAAATGAGATTAGTAGTCTACAGTAGGCCGCTTAGCTGGTTGTCCGCATTCACGTGCGAAACGGGACCGGATTGAGTATTGATGATATCCTGAGTATGATTCAGAGAGGTGAGAGCCCGCCAAAAGGGGCTAAATTTCATTGGCGTCACTTAGCAAATCCTCTGTCTTCCAGACCCTGCTTGCCAGGCTCGCTCTGAACACGTGACTTACTCTGCATTTAAGAAGTACATAATATTTTAATTATCAGGAAAGCAAGCAACATATGCGGGACACAATGGCTTCAGCGTCGACACGAATTCAGTGTGCGTTCAACAGGCAAGTGTCGGGAGCCTCCCGTAGAGAACACTCAGGTAATAACTTTATTATCAGGTTAGATTTTCAGCCGTTACAGAAGAACAAGACGTTTCCAAGCCATGCTGCTGTGTAGAAGCAACCAAATTCAATACCTGCTACCTAGCTGAAAGCAATCGGTATCAACGCTGAAAGGCAACAGGTAGTAAGGGTAGTGGGCAGGCGCTCTCCAGTGCAGGCATTCTCGGCAACCTTCGCCCACGTTACATGTAATCGCTGTGAAGCGGTCTTGTACTGTCCAAGTTGAGTTAACTTCTCGTCTGGAATCGACTTTTGAAAAACACGCAGCCATCTTTGAACTACTTGTTGTTGTTTTAGGTCCCAGTTTACCTCTGTAGCGTCCCTTACATGGCATTACCAACTGCTCCGTGTGCAGCGACTATGTCGTTCGTTGAAACTATTGAAATGGGCTTGTTTGCTTTTTCATAGCTCGATAGCGAAGCTGAGGACAGTGCTTCGGCCTATTTTCGTGCCTTTGCCATTAGTTAATTTCAGTACCCTTATGCGCCCAGTAGCAAAGTAGACATGAACAGGTTGATTGGCGAATATGGCGAAATTTTCCTTTTTTTTTTGCTTCTTGACTCGACGTGTATAGTCTTCGTGCGCATGATGACGATGCGGCTTGCTAACAAGATCGGCGAGACTGGAAAAGGTCCGCAATACGGAGCTACTAAATTTATAGAAGCATCGTCTACACTTATATGTATATAAGTAAGATACGGTGAGTGACGAGTACTAGAAAGTAACGTGCGCTCAGGTGGGTCTCTACCGCGGCCACCCTTGCAATTGTTGAGCTGCTCGCTTGAAAGGATTAAATCGCTGCAGGGGACGTTCTATTACGTAATATTATAAGACGAAGATTGCATTGCTGTAACGAAGTGAGCTACATAGCCGAGATGAACGTTAGACGCATTGCATTGAGGTACGTTGGGCCTCACTTGCAGCGTTAACAACCACGGCTATTGAAAGGTCCTCGTTAGCAATAGGACAAAATGTCGAATCTGGTGTTTATAGTTTTGATTTTTAACCTGACTCGAAAGTCGATATTAATTGACCAGATGGCAATTACTTAATAAACTATATCTTAATAACTGGCACAGGAGAGACTGTTAGTAAGCTACGCAATTCGATCTAAATCGTGTTGTTGGTAAAAATACGGAACGCCCGGCGTCACACACCTAAGCTAACGATGTTGGCTTCCGTATTGATTTGATGCGCTTGAAGCCTTAGAAGTGCACGAGTTGTATGGCAAGCTTCTGTTACAGACGACAACAGTATGGTTCATGTCATTGATTTATTCAACGGTAACCTAGAACATAATAATAGTAACATTATAATACCAGGCCAACTCAAGGCACGTGACGGTTTCCTTTGTGGTCTATAAAAAGTGGTTAACCAAAGGCTCCCCAAAGGCTTCATTTGATTTTACCACAACTAAGCTGTTTGCTTTGTTCTCTTACTGACAATATCTTCCGGCGACCAGCAGACAGACGGCCGTGGAACATGCAATACATGAAAATATAGTAACAAAAATATTTACCCTTTATGATGTTCAGTATATGAGTTTATGCTTGTGGCACTGCAGCGTGCATCGACGTAGGTCCGCATAGGTCTGTGCACTTCGGAATGGAGTAATCAGTCGATTGCGCTCACTCCTAATCAGTCAACTTGGCCAATCCCAACTCATTTTCTCAGCGCTGATGAATGGATATTGGCCAAATGTTAGGGTACTGGCAGACCGGTAGAAGCAAATGGGAGTCTTTCATTCTTGTTGGGACAAGTGTTACCGTTACTGCTAACATCTGTGCCGGTTCAGCGCAAGAAGGTGGTAAAAGTCGAAGGCAACAAGACATCGAGGCGAGGAATATAGCCGTCGTCAGGCTTGCATCAGCCGTATTTCAGCTAAGCCGCTTTTATACGCTCCATTGATAATCAACAAGCAGAAACAAGTTGCATGGCGAAAGCAACAAGACGATACGGGCGGACATGCGACGAGGCAAGTGCTGCAGTAATGCGTACTCAGACGCCACTGAGCGCAGAGTCGTACTTTGGCGGCCAATCTGCAGTCCGCTGGCCCGCACGACAACCCACAGCCAATGACTAATAATTTTCCACGGGAAATCCTGCGATCCGAGCAAGTATGTGCTATTCATTTGCTGATAGCGGGTCGCGCCTCGTACGGATAGCATCGCCCGATACCAATGCCTTCAGCGCACTCATTGTCACCGCTCTATGCTATTGGAGCTATTCATTTGATTACATGTACAATTATGGGTTCATTCACACGACATGATAGAGGTTAACAGCATTGCTGCACATGAACGGCTAGTGGTACCTGTTATTCATTGCGTCTTTACAAAAGGGCATACCATTTTTATGTCATCTTAATTATTTATCTCTAGCGTGTCAGAAGAAGCGTGCCTAACGCACACTCACAACAAGATTAGATAAAGACCATTAACCTATGACATTACAAAATGGTCTGCCGGTATTGTGCAAGGTGAAATTTTGGCTATTATTGCCTTATTAGTTATTGCGTAAATCTTAAATGTACCTATTTCTATTTGTCTCTAATCTATGTTATGATGAAAGCCTACTTTTGTCCTGGTTATTTTAGATTCCTTTTTATGTTGGCCTTCTTTTTTTTGTTTACGAGGGCTAACGCGGCAAATCAGGCCCTCGGCTCCAATCCCTGGCCTTGCCTCGGCATGCTCGCGTTGATTCGACGAATTGTGACGAACTATAAATCTTCCAAACTTAAACAACTCCGTTTAATTGCTCTGCGTGCAAACAGCCCTGCCACTAGATGCCTGCCCTGCTCGACTCTGCACTGATTTGTTTCAAGCTGTACAAGTTTACCATGTGCTACCGGCAACTCCCGCTACTGCGGCAGCGTCTTGAAAAACCAGTAAGCTTATAATAGCAAAGGAGAGTCGTCGCACGGATCACGGTCTCTTTTATTGTGAAACAGCAAAACGTCCTGCAGGAGTTACCCTCCGCCGCAGTCGCTTACTTTTCCACCACGTGACCGGCACTCTGCAAAGGGAAAGTAAAAATAAATCCAATTTATGCAAAGACAAAAAAAAAAGAAGAAAACACGAATGGCAGTGGCATATTCGACCTCAAAAGTGCAATAGCAGAAACACAAAATTGTTTAGGTAGAAATGCTCGACAAAGAGGGCAGCTGAGGAGCGTGAATGGTTGAGCGTAAGGAAGAAGTCATCATGTGGAGATTTTACTTGCCGTCGATGGTGGAGTGTTGCTAGGTCGTGCGCGTGATTCTGCCTATATGAGATTCTGCCAACATAATCGTCTGTGTTTCTTTCGACGCATCTACAGCAGTTGTCTGTGCGCTAGCATAAGACAAGGAAGCCCCGCTACTCTAAGACAGTGGCTGTTTGCACAGGTCCTAGCAGGGTGTTTCCATGCAAACTTGCTAATTATTATGAGGGTATAACTCTGATATACACGTGCCTCAGATGAATGCCATTCCTCGTTAGTGTTCTACTGCACTGTTAAATGTCATCACTGTGGGAGTGTGACTATAAGCTTTTGGTTATCCTTTTACTATGATTGGTTCCATTTACTTGTACAGGATTTCACTCGTGTTTAAATGACTGTGCTAGCTAGAGTTATGGTGATATTATTTTATGATCTGCAACTAACACTGGTCAGACAATCATGGCCCACTGACAGAATAGATTGGGCCACTACCTAGGCTAACAGCATTTAAAGTAAAATAGAAAATAAAGGCTATATATGCATATATGTCGGTATATGTTATGCTCAATTTGTTCCCTCTGTTTGCTCTGAGTCCATAGGATATGTAATGTAGTCGAAGTAGTCGTTTCTACTCGATCTGCTTCGTGTGTATTGTCTGCGCAATGCGGCTGTGCAAAGCTGTTCTTGTGACGGCCGCCGCTCGAGCAGGTAGGCCCTGTTTCTTCCTATAAGTATTGCCCTAGGTTCCTTATTTTTTTCCTCATCAGACCTTCCTTTCTTTTTTGTTTGTCGCAAGCTGCTTAATCAATTCATACTCCTCCTAAACCTTGTCCCGCGGACCTGGGGGTGGCGTCATCTTGTGATGCCTGTTATCGTACAAGGGGGACTAACGCCTCGAACAGAGAAACATTTGCAAATGTAGCTCTATTTCTTCTGTTGTTTTCGCTTTACGGAAAGCATTGCTAGTTTGCTAACGAACGTTCGATCCCGTATCAAGCTTGTGACCTAGAATTAGGCTAACTATCAGTCTTAGACTGCCAGTGCTTAGTTCGACCAA